AAGGAAGGAAGGAAGGAAGGAAGGAGAGATTGTGAGATGAAGGCAATGGGGGAGGGAGGGAGGGATTGATAGAAGGAGGGAGGGAAGGAAGGAGCAAAAGAAGGAAGGAGAGGATGATTGGAGGGAGGGATGAAGGCAGTGAGGAATGGATGCGTGGATGGATTGATAGAAGGAGGGAAGGAGAGAAGGAGCGAAAGAAGGAAGGAGAGGAGGGTTAGAGGATGGAGGGATGAAGGCAGTGAGGAAAGGATGTACAGATTGATAGGTGGAGGGAAGGAGAGAAGAATGGTTGGATGGAGGAAGGGAAGGAAGGAGAGAAGGAGAGAAAGAAAGAAAGAAAGAAAGAAAGAAAGAAAGAAAGAAAGAAAGAAAGAAAGAAAGAAGGAGAGGATGGTTGGAGGGAGGGAGGGAGGGATGAAGGCAGTGAGGAACCTCTTTAGATGTGACTTTAGCAATGTCAGCTTGTTTAATTTCAGACAGAGAAGGACTGGTTACAATGACACAGGAGCGAGGAATACACTTTGATGTTACCTAGTCTGAGTAATGAAACTTCTGCAAGAAAACAACCCAAATCAGAGAGCACTAAGGACCCCTCATTTCAACCCTGAGCTGCAAATATTCTCCTTTATTGGAAGGCACTTTGCACATGTTTAGAGTCTAGAGCGCTCTTCTTCTCTTAGCTGACCTGAGTTTCTTTTGTGGATGGTTTCGTGTTATACGGAGGGGTGCTACGTTCAATTCCTCTGAGATCTGACTCATTTTAATGTGTTACTCTCCGGATTGTGTCGCAAGTCAAAAGCAGAAGTTTCATTACTATCACTTTCATTAAAAGCCACATACATATAATTACATTTGTGAACTTACGGTGCTGTTCAAAACAAACATTCAAGTCTGAAGGAGTTCAGTGGAAGAACAAAACTGCAATATATTAAACATCAGTAGGTGTCACTGCATAGTGAAAAGAAGGTATAATATGTGAATACAAGATTTGCTTATTTTAGGAGAACAAATCTTAACACTTTCCTTCGACTAGTAGTAAAATGACTTATTAGAAATAAAAATAGGTTTATTCATGCTGGGATTCTAGAATTTACAATGTGCCAGGAAAACAATTAAGTGTTTAAACAATTCACTAATAAAAATCTCCCTGTCGATAGTATCAATAAAAAAATTCAGTAAAGTGACTCATTAATCAATAGGCTATAATTTTAAATGTGCCTGCCTGCATTTTAATTTTTTAAAGTGTATTAAAATTTTATAGGGTAGAATTATAATTAAGGTATTTTATTAGCAATCCTATTTTATCAAATCACTTAACCAACGTTTGCGGAACTCAGCATTATGTACTGTAAGTACTTAGTAGTGACTTAATATAAAGTAGCATGGGGGTACGATGGCTCAGGAGTTAAAGATGCCTGCCAGCTGGAAAGCTAACAATCTGGGTTCAAGATTCAAGTACCACGTGACAGGGTGAGCTCCCGTCCCTTGCTCCAGTTCCTGCAACCTAACCGTTTGAAAGCATGCAAATGCGAGTAGATAAATAGGTACCACTTCGGTGGGAATTCTTTATCAGCCAATTCTTTATCAGCTCTGGTCTCAATAACCTTGATTCTCACACTAAGTTTAGTGTTGTTATGTCTAGCTAGACTCTCATTCACAGCATCATCTAACTCTAAAAGTGGAAAGGAAAAAGATGGCTACATTTCCATCTATTGTCAATGCAAAACATCCGATGTTAGCAGCGTTGATATCACTTTTGTCAGTGCTGTAACTATTTGATAGCCACATGTTTTCATTTTTTGTTCAGTTTTGGTCAGTCTCAACTCAAGAATGGCCATTAAGGTTATTCTGATTGATAGTCGTCAGCAGTGTTCCAGTATCTCAGGGGCTGCCACAAAGAAGAGGGAGTCAAGCTATTCTCCAAAGCACCTGAAGGCAGGACGAGAAGCAACGGATGGAAACTGATCAAGGAGAGAAGCAACCTGGAACTAAGGAGAAACTTCCTGACAGTTAGAACAATTAACCAGTGGAACAACCTGCCTCCAGAAGCGGTGAATGCTCCAACACTGGAAGTTTTTAAGAAGAGACTGGAAAGCCATTTGTCTGAAATGGTGTAGGGTTCCTGCCTGAGCAGGGGGTTGGACTAGATGACCTTCAAGGTCCCTTCCAACTTTATTACTACTACTACTACTACTACTACTACTACTACTACTACTACTACTACTATTATTATTATTATTATTATTATTATACAGCTATGTAAAACATGAAACTTCCTACTAATTTACTATGCATTAATAAAACACAAGGTAGGGTTTGGTTTTGTTTTTTGCTGAGCAGATTGGGGTAACTTTATTTCTACTGTACTAAAAAAAAACCCTTCCTAATGATTTATGCTTGCAGCAGCTCATAGCTTAGGCATTTGTGCATTTTACTTAATAACATAGAGTTATATGAATGTAAATTGTTTGAAAAAAATTTTAAAGTGAAAATTGCCCTGCTTTCATTTTTTTTTTTAAATAAATTTCCTTAATCTGGTCTTTCACAAATTCTTTTTTTTTTAATTTAATGCAGCTAAAACTGATTGCACACCGTTTTAAGCAGTGAAGTGTCCTTTTGTGGTTGGCTATTTTCTTGCAGACGTTTCATTACCCAACTAGATAACATGATCCATGCTCTAGCATTTGGTAATGAAATGTCTGCAAGAAAACCACCAAGCTCAGAGAACACCAAAAGACCCTACCGTTCAATCCTGAGACACAAGTATTCTCTTCTATCCATTAATATTCCATTTCTTTTGTAATGGTTTCTTCCAACGGCCAACAGGTTGACTGAGATGATCTATGAGGCCATTTCCAATCCTTACATCCTACAATTCTATGAATACTAGTTTATTGAAGAGAAGGACGAGGGGTGACATGATAGCAGCGTTCCAGTATCTCAGGGGTTGCCCCAAAGAAGAGGGAGTCAAGCTGTTCTCCAAAGACCCTGAAGGCAGGACAAGAAGCAACGGATGGAAACTAACCAAAGAGAGAAGCAACCTAGAACTAAGGAGAAACTTCCTGAGAGTTGGAACAATTAATCAGTGGAACAACCTGCCTCCAGAAGCTGTGAATGCTCCAACACTGGAAGTTTTAAAGAAGAGACTGGACAGCCACTTGTCTGAAATGGTATAGGGTTTCCTGCCTGAGCAGGGGGTTGGACTAGATGACCTCCTAGGTCCCTTCCAACTACTACTACTACTACTACTACTACTACTACTACTACTACTACTACTACTTCTTCTTCTTCTTCTTCTTATTATTATTATTATTATTATTATTATTATTACGCTATGTTAAGATATTTAAATTTAATAGCTGGAACAGTGAAGGGTTGTAAAATGAGCTAGAACACACATTTATCGTTGATTGGTTGGAGAGTTCCACTCCCGCATGAGGCAATCTGCGCCGTGATTGGTTACTGTGGCTATGGAGAGGGAGTTTCCATTTTTTCCCGCCTTTTTTTTCTGTCTGTCCCGTCTGCTCTGTGATTTACCTCATGATGCTCCCTGTTTGCTGTAGATAT